TTGTTGGTGGGCCGTGAAATGAAGTGGTTGAGAGCGGCGATTTGACCCGTTAATCGCTGGACTTCCCAACTATTTTTTGAGCTAGGAAGATTCAGGATTGTGGAGATCTGTTTAGAATTTGCCTCGATTCCTCGTTGTGTGACGATGTAACCGAGGAAATCCCCCGAGGTGACACTAGAGGTGCACTTCGCGGGGCTTAACTTCATTATGTATTCGTTCAAGGTTTTGAAACATTCGTGCAGGTGGGATGGGTGATCAGCCGCATGTAGTGATTTGACCAGCATGTCCTCGATGTACACTTCCATCGTTTTACCGATCTTGTTGGCGAACATCTTATTGACTAGACGTTGATATTTCGCGTCGGCATTTTTCAGCACAAAGGGCATGACCTTGTAGCAGTACGTTCCTCTATCGGTAATGAACGCAGTCTTCTCTCGGTAATCGGGATGCATTGTGATCTGATTATACCCGGAGAATGCGTCCACAAAAGTGAAGCTGTTGATTCGACCAACCGATCGATGTGTGGGAGAGGAAACCTATCCTTCAGACATGTCTTATTCAGGTCCGTGAAATCGACGCAAACACGCCACTTTTCGTTCTTTTTCTTTACAACAACCGGGTTCACTAGTCATTCTAAGTATCGTACCTCGGTGATCGATCCGGCCGCGAGCAGTCGCTTGACTTCTTCATAGACGGCCTTTGATCGTTCCGGACCGAGCTTTCGACGTTTCCGTCGGATGGGTTTGAAGGTGGGATCGACGTTGAGCTGGTGCGAGGTGATCTTCAGGTCGATTCCCTTCATGTCCGAGGTGGTCCAACCGAAGGTTGATGTGTTTTCCCTGAGGAAGCCGATGATCGTTCGTTGCATTTCGTCGGAGATGAAGGCTCCTACTCGTACAATCTTACTTGGATCGTTATCGTCGATCTGAACTTCGAGGACCTCATCTTTTTGGGGGTATATCTTGTGAATGGGCTTAGCGGCTGCGTTGACCTGAGGGAGCAATTGCTGGAGCTTGACGTTGGCGACTAGAAGGTCGCGCGCCGCCGGTTGGTCGCCTCGTATCGTCTTGATTCGACCGTCGTTTCCAGGAAACTTGACGTATTGATGGTAAGTGAAGGAGATTGCTTTCATCGAATGAAGCCACGGCGTGCCGAGTATGACATGGTAGGGTGCTTCGGTCGCAATAACGGAGAACTTGACCATGCGAGTAACTCCGCCAGCGTAGACTGGTAGTCAAACACTGCCGATCATTTCCTCTGATACTCCATTGAATCCGGTTAAGGAGTGGTTGGATGGTTTCATTAGACGTAGGTCGGCTCCCGTCTTTTCAAGGGTTTTTTAGAAGATAAGATCAACTGAGCTGCCGATGTTGATCAGTACTTTGGTTACTTCACAATCTCCGATTCCTAGCTCAATGAGGAGCGGGTCATTGTGCGACATGTGGACTCCGAGAGTGTCGTCTGCTGAGAACGTGATCAAAGAATAATTCTCGGGTTTGGACGGCCACTTCTGCAAGGTCTTTGCTTGGCGCTGATGGGCTTTGACAGAGCGAACCGAGTCGCAACATGGGGGCGACCCTTCCATGATAACGTTTGCTCGTTTGCCCTGGATATGTGAGTGCAGGTCATAGGGTGAACCCACGACCGTTGTCGTAAGTCCTGGATTTTCGGCTTGATGAGTTTGAGGCGGAGGTCACTGGCCTTTGAGTTTAGGTGATTCTTCAAATTGATACCGTCTGGGGGAGAATTGCACGCATTTGGATCATTTGTGATTCCGGCTGCTTCTTGCCCGAGCATCGGAATGTCGATATTATCTCTTGCCTGGTGGAGTCTGATGTTGCCATCTCCGTTGCAATGTTTCGTCGCTTCAGTCTACGTCGCACGTCTACGGGACTTAGACTATTTCTCTTGGTAAATCGCTTATTAAGGTATATACGTAGATCCTCTGGGGAAGGTTCCGTTTCCTCCTCTATCGGTGCATTCGGGCGCGCGAGGATGACTTCGACTCTTCGTCGGTTCCTCGGCTGCTCTTCATTGGCAGACGAGTCTCCTTTCTCTTGCGCTTTGGGAGCGGTTTCCTCGGTATTCATCTTTTGCTCGGCTCGCAGAGTTTCGCGCTGAAAATTTTGAGCCTTCTTGTCTTTATTTTTGCTCCAGTTGTTACTCTTCAGCTTTGCTTTGGGAGGCTCAATCTCCAATTTTCTGCTGGCGGTTGACGAGAGGAAGTGCTCGTATAAGATTTTACACTCCTTCGTGTCGTGCTTCTTGCTCTTGTAATAGGAGCAGTATTTTCTGGTTTTGTGGGCTTCGACCCTGACGCTTCAGGTGCACCTGAGGTCTTTTGCTTGTCTTCAGCCCTTTCCCAATGGTTCCACCCCTTTCCTCGGACCACCACTGTTGACCCAGAGAGGTCGTTTTCGTTGACAAGGTATACGAAATTTCGGGTTTGTTTTGTCGTTAGGGGCGTGTTGCCGAAGTTCCGTGCGAGCTTTGCTACTCTTAGCCGATGCTAACTTCGTCGCGTTCTGCTTACTAATGATTGCTTTAGTGTCCTCCTCCATGCGGATGAAGTTGTTCGAGCGAGCAATGGCGTCAGAAAGGGACTTAGAGGGCGGTATAGATCGTCTCTGAACTTTGAATGCACGTACAAGGTGTTCATGAGGCATCCACACCGATGCTATCGGGGACCTTTACTTTTGACACGATGGCTTTGGAATTTTCCATGAAGCCACGCATGCTTTGTCCCTGTGACTGAGAGAGGTTCCAAAGATCTGAGGCAGCGGCTTCTTGACGAGTAAACATTGTATAGTTTTTGAGGACTGCTGACGACAGGTCGTGGAAGTTGTCGACAGAGTTTTCTGGCAGACCATTGAACCACGTGAAGGCCGCACCAGTTAAACTTTCGACAAAGAGCTGACAAAAGCCGGCATCTCTCTCCTCGTCGGAGAAGTTTGGTCGTCTCATAGCGATGTTGAAAGACTTGATGTGAGCAGTTGGGTCTGACAGGTCGTCGTAGGATGGTAGGCGGACCTTGTCCATCTTTCGTAGTCGTACGCTCTTGATTTTTCTGGTGGACGGCGTTTGGAGAGTGTCTGCGAGAACGCTCTCTATGAGCGGAGCGGAGGTTGTGACGCCATAGATCTTCGAGTTTATGTCGAGGAAGGCGTTCTTGAGAGCGGCAATTTCTTGGACAATTTGCAGATCTGGGGAGCCGGAGGTGTTGGTTTGCTCCTCGGCACCTTGGGCCTGCGTTCCGGCGACTTGGTTGGTAGGGTTAGCTGTTCGGTCGGTGTTGAGCAGCTGTCATCGAAAAGGTTGGTTAGTGGCGGCCGTCTTGGCGAACGGAGCGAGGATGGCTGATATGGCGGCGAGTTGCTCGGTGGTCGCTCTCTGAGCTTCGTCTTGGTGCGCAAAACGCTCCATGACGGATTCGATGAAAGTCGGGGCGAGCGGTACAGCAGTAGCCAGAGTCGGTGCTACTGTGTCTCCCTCCTCACCGGAGGTTGAATCGTTACTCGAACTCATTCCTATGTTGACGCTACTTTGTTATGCCCCACAGTGGGCGCCAACTGTTTGAACCGAGTTCGGTCGTGTATCGGTAAAGAGAGTGATAGGACTTGTCGGTGGGTTATTTCAAAAGCGTTTTACTATTTATGAGTGGAAGAGTAAGTTTATTAATGAGAGACTTGATGTACAAATAAGAAAACACAAGGCGAGACGCCGTTGCTCAGAGAGCTTAGCCGTGAAAGTACAAGTCGCGGAGATACAAAGAGGTGAAAACCCTAATTCTAGCCGCCTTTGTAAGTAACTGCTCGATTTCGGATCCCCTCTCTCGTTGTCTCCTCCTCTCCCTTTATAGTATGCTCTGCTCCTCCTCAATGATCTAGGTCGATGGGCTTTCTGGTCGGTCCATTAAGTCGCGCACCGTTCGGTTCCCTTTTGTCGTTTAGTCGCAGGGATGGTTGAGCTTGAGCCGAGCCGAGGCGCGATCAACTCGGACCGGCCTGGATCATTTCTAAGTGGACTGTTCATGTTATCTCTGGGTCCTTAATAATGGGGCAATCCACCTCATACAAAAAAAATAGACAAAAAAGGACCGCTTCGAATGGGATTGAACATGAACTGAAAGAGATAATTGAAATACGGAAAAGTAGCTCTCTTTCGATTACGAAAAGCTCGATGAGTTCGTTCAACCTTCTGATCTTTTACTACTCCTAGTGAAAACGGTTATAGCGGTTTAAAGAATAAACTTGTTCGGTTCCCACCAGTTTTTTTTTCTTGTAGAACACTGATGAAAAAGTCACATAAGAATTTGTTTTATCATGTAACCCGAACAAATCCAAATCGAGTAATGATACCCTGCTCGTTCAACCTTCTGATCTTTTATCTGCGATTGCAAACCTTAATTTGATTGTTTATTTGTTGGATGGCTAGTCGTATTAAGACTAAACCGTAGTTCTCATTGCAAGAAATTCATTGATTGAAAATTTTAATTTTTGCAACATACCAAATCAGGACTTTACTAACTGGACCCATACTAGTAGACAAACAAATAAATAACATTAGTTATGAGGTTGTAAGTTATAACTCGTGGTTACAAATGTCAGGACTTTACTAACTGGACCCATTATAAATGCATTGGATTTTTTTTAATACCTCAAACACATAATACAACCTTAGGTCTAATCAGGTCTTCTTTGTGCATCTCCTTGTACCGTTTGAGTGTCTTCGCGACGGTGGAGGTTCTTCTGGTAGAAAAGCCATTACAAATGACATAGTTTAGCTTGTTAAAAATAACTGGGCCGTAGCGACATCATTTTGTAACGAAATACAATATATAAAGCCCAAGGTTAGGGTAGTTTTCTACGCGCGTAATTTCCTACATCTGGCCGCCGCCGAGGTAATATAAAGAAGGAGAATCACGCGCGTACGTTTTGAATTTAATTTTCGTTAACCATAAAGAGGGTTCAAGTATTTGTGGAATTGTGGGTAGAGAACAACAGAACTATTTTATTAAATACTTTTGGAAGGATAATACAATTTCGAAATGTTTCGAAATAATAAGGTTGGGAAAAATAGAAGACGACAAAGTACAATCTAGTGAAACACGACTCAACAGTACAACATTGATAAAATCAATAATAAAAAAACTACTTAGGTTTAGATTTGGTTTGACACTTTCTTTTCCATCTGACCCTCCAAATCACCACCACCATGAGTTTGAGCATGAACCCTCAAATCACCGGAAACTACTGGAGTTGCTGATGCAAGCTTGACCATGTCAATGGAGTGATCTGCCACCGTTTTGGGTTTTTCTGTGTCATCAACTTTTGGAGCCTTGTAGTACTTGAATATGATGTAGAGAATCATTTGAACTGCTCCGAGAAATGCACCCAATATATTTGGAAGCTTCAATACAAAAATAATAATCACATCAGTAATCTCCCATTAATCATTTGTTGGAAACAGTACAAATCCCATTACGTATAAGTATAATCTTGGTTTCTCTGACGCAATCATATATTATATGATTATAAGCATAAAGCAAAAGAAGCGTACGGCTCAAATGATATATTCGCCGGTCTTTATATAGAAGGAATAAGGGGAAAAGAGAAAAGGTTGTGGAAACTCTTTCCCCTTAAACATGCACCACCCATAATAATATATATGATACTATGTTGCGTTGTCCAATATTATATGCTTATTAAAGATTTAATATCATAAGGAAAAGATGCCGACAAGAAAAAAGACTCACCGCAACGTAGAAGTCTTTAATAGCAAGACCGTAGAAGAGCCACGTGATGGCGCTGAGTGTAAGAAACAATGATAGAGAGAAGGGCATGAACTCCACACTCTTTGTTCGTATCACCACTCTCTGCATCATTTGTTTTTTTTACTTTTCAAATGTTAAAAACTATAATATTGAACATAAAGATGCTAATATATACCAGAAAAGGAAATTGCCAGAGATGTAATTTTCTTTAGAGTATCGTCAGATATTCTTCATACGATTGTATGGCTTTTAGGAGTGTATTATAGACTTATGTAGCAGTATATACGTACCATGATGCTCAAAGGAGCTGCGAAGACACAAACAGAAAATCCGACGCAAATCCCTCCAAGGACTTTCTCACGGTTCGATCTTTTGGTCAAGAGCTCACATACAAGAATAATAGCAGCAAAACCCAAGAAATTCAAGAGCCCAAGAACCTTCAAAGTTGATATCTACAGGGTTGTTTATATCATCAGCTAACATATTTTTTATAAAAGAGTGCATTTTAGTATACCCAAAAGAAATGTTATGGTTACACGTACTCTAGCTTTCTTGTTAGCATAGGTTATGAAGAGGATGATGTAGATGGTTTCGATGAAGCATCCAACGGCATTAATGGTTATCAGGAGGAAGCCTGATCCATCTTTCTGCATAGCGTAGTAGATCCATAGCATCGCGCTAAAAAGCGCTGATACATAAGGAAGTGACTGAAAGCCTTCTATAGATTTTTTCTTGCAAATCCTAACAAACGTTGGCCTTCGCATACATGAAATTTAATATCCAAAAGATATTTTAAAAGTTATTCGCTAAAGAGAAAACAAATAAGAAAGTGAGTGTTTTGAGATCGATGATGCTTACACTGGCGCCAAGAAAACGATAAATGATATGATATTGCCTGCAAAAGATGCATATTCAAACATATGAGTAAAAATGGGTATGTGCATATATTAACATGGAGATTGTCGTATTGATTTTTTTTTATGTATTTGATGTTGTTGATGAAAGCTTAGATACTTACCCATGATTCCAAATGTAAACGCCAATACGTTTAGAGCCATTTTGATTGTTTTGTAAATGAGCTTCGACTATATATCTGTCTACTTTTGAATAAGATTATCGAAGAAAAGGAACAAGCTAACAAGAGGAGGTCTTGAACTCTTGTTAGCTCTAATTGAGTTTTCTTCGATATGAATTGAACTATGAGGCCAATGGTACACACTATATATAGAGAGGGTTACATGTGTAAGGGTGCAATGTTTATATGTTGGAGACGTTGTCGTTTTCGTGGTCTAAGAGAGAGAAGAACATCGCATATTGATGGTCTCAGGTATTTCTAAAGTTTTTTAAAATGGTAAATATTCGATAATTTTATGTGGTATGCACTCTTGGCGTGTATTATATTAATGTCAAACTTTATGCCAAACCTTGTTTATATTATTATCTTAGCCCCTTAAGTGAGTTTTCTTTTTTCCTTTAATTAAACCAAATAATTAAAAAAAATGTTGAGCTAAACTCTTTGGTGATTTGTTCTTTTGGCATGACCAGTAAATTAAACCATTGCTCGTCTGTTAGTTTTATGGCCAACCATTCAAATAAATAGCGATTAAAGTCATATATTCGATAAAAATATTTGGTGGTTATCTTTCATCACTACAATCATGTAATTTTCCAGTATTCTACCAGGACTCGCACTAGCCAAATAGTTTATTTATTTGTTTTCCATGCACATACATATAGCTTATGTGTTTATGATCTGTAATTAAATTACTATTCCAAAGTTTTAATTTTACTATTCCAAAGTTTTCATAGTAAAATATATACCATAAAAACTCCAATTAATTGGCTACATGAAAGAGGAATTTTTTTGCTATACCGAACCCAAGATTGAGCACGACGATGCATTTAGAGAGGAATATATATGTTTTTCTAATCCACACCAGAGGACAAGAAAATTGGTTGCAATAACTCAAGTTCCCATTATACATGAAGTTCCATTGAGGGTATAACCCATGTTCTTTTCCTTTGTTCATCTTACCAGTAAAAATGAACGTTTAAGTGTCCGCCACGTGTGATATATTATATGTTGTCTTAGAGCACTCTTGAACTTCATGATTTGGCAGCCAAAATTAGGCCTGTAACAAATTATAGTTTATCAGCTTTCATAACAACAAAGAATAATATCATTTTTCCCAGGGGCATATTGAGTTAAAGTCCCATTTTTCCCTTTGATAATGTATATAAACGCCTCGAGAAAAAACACACTAAATTTATAAAACAAAGAATAGTGCGTTTCATCTTAATTAGACGCGACTCTCGCGTGTGTAAACCGTATTGGTAAGATTCACCATTATGCTTCTTGATTTTCCACTTACCTTTCGTGTTAATCTAGTTATCTACTACATATTTATCATATCCACCATCAGTCTTCAATTGATGCCTATGTAATCTATGCACTCTACCATAAAATATTACTAAATCAGCAAATTCATCTAGTTAAGCAAATATTATTGGAATTATATGAAATATTGATACTTGTACGAGAAATCATTGCATATATTATGTTGGCACAACTACTTACATAGAAATACTTTTCAAAATTCTAATTAATTATGATTACAACATGATTCCCTGTTTACAATCTTACACTAAACTAATGATAGTCAGAGATTATGGTTTTGAATGGTAACCAAGAGAATGAAAAGGAACATTATATTCTTTACAAAAATTACCATTCATGAAGAATAATTTTTTTACATTCCTTTCCATTTCATTTTTTGTAGTTTATTTTAGAGAAAATTTGTTCATTGGTAATTTTGATAAGGAATTATCATTCCTTATCATTCCCAAGTTTTTATTTTTACTCATTTTTTATCCATTGTTAATGTTTCTATGATTGTTACCAGTTACACCAAATATGTATTTTGTTAACCCTTATGCTCCAATTAGCAACACTTTGATGAGGAATGGAAAAATAAATGACCAAATTTTCATATGAAGAAAAGAATAAATATAAAAAGAGGAATGACGATGAATCATTTTTTTTTAAAACAATTACATTTGTATAAAATTTTAGAAAGAATAATTTTCTTCATTAATTCATCTAAACATGAGGATAAGAGAGGAATTCAGTGGAACCTACATGTAATAAAGTTGACAAAAAAATTCAACATGATTGTTATTAATTTAGAAGAACAAAGAATTCATCATCTTTTTCCCCCTAAAATATGATCATCAATTGGAGCCTTAAAAATAAAATAAACCTATTAAGCTTATTCATTTTAGGGTTTTTAGTAATAAAACTCATCAACTAAAGATATATCGTAAAAAAACCCTCAACTAAAAATTTAGTGAAAAAAATCCTCAACTTTAGTTCCGTTAATGTTTGTCACCCTCCGTCACAGAATTTTAGACGGAGAATGACATACGTTAACAGAACTAAAGTTGAGGGTTTTTTTTCACTAAATCTTTAGTTGAGGGTTTTTGTTACGATCCATCTTTAGTTGAGGAGTTTTATTACTAAATACAGTTATTATCATTTATTCATTATTTAAGAATCTTAAAATTGATTGATAAACATGAAAATAATTTATATTAATGAATCTTAAAATTGATTTATAAACATGAAAAATAATTTATATTTTTTATATATTACTTTATCAATTTTATAACTTATTTATAAAGTTTTCTCATTTAATACTTTTTATAAATTATTAAGGTTTAATGATGATTTTATAAGATTAAAAATGTGATTATTCGTCATACTACAAAAACATGAAGTAAATAAATGAAACAAGAAAATCTTATTGATTAATATGGTAAGAGTATAACATATTGGTTCAAAAAAATAATCCTACATTATTTCTTCTGAAATATAAAAAAGTATGAATTAAACTGAAATTGTTTAAAGAGGAGAAAAATGTCCTTGTCATATTTTAAGTAACAATGTTGAATTTCTAAATTAATTAAATATCCTCAACACTACCTACAACTTTATATAACTTAGAAAGCTTAACTATTTGATATTTGACAGTATTAATATAAGAAAATTGTATGTGTTTCCTCCTTTAAAAAGCTTTATTGTTTTACTTCGTAATATCAAGAAAATCATGTATTATTCCACCCTAAGAAATAGAAGACAAAAGCTTATAAAATCGTCGTTAAACCTTATAAATAGTTTTTTTTAATTATTAAATTATTTACTAAGCTTTATAAATAGTTTAGAAATTTGATAAAGTAATATATAAATAATTATAAATTCTTTTCAATGTTTTGTAAGATTCTTAAATAATAAAGGGAATAAATAAATGATAACAAAGATTTTAAAATATTTAATCGCATTTAGTAATAAAACCCCTCAACTAAAGATGGATCGTAACAAAAAACATCAACTAAAGATTTAGTGAAATAAATCCTCAACTTTAGTTCTGTTAACGTATGTCACCCTCCGTCTAAAATTCCGTGACGGAGGGTGACAAATATTAACGGAACTAAAATTGAGGGTTTATTTCACTAAATCTTTAGTTGAGAGTTTTTTTTTACGATTCATCTTTAGTTGAGGGATTTTATTACTAAAACCCTTCCTTTTATGAATCTTACTAAGCTTAGTCCTTTTTAGGAATTTGGCTAAGGCTAGTCCTTGGATAGCGATAAGTATATTTTAAGGGGTTAAATTTTGTGAAATTACCCCAGAAACACATATACACTTATAACTCCATTAATCATTACCATAAAATGTACAATTTAATATTTTAAATTGCATATAAAAGATTAAAAATTTAACAATATAAAAGAGAAGCCTTTATTGAGCTCTATATTAACCTTTTTTTGGTAAAATGTTAACTAGCTCTATACAAACTTGAATCAAATTAAAAGTTAACTTGATAATGAGTACTGATATAACTAGTAGAAAATTAAACATGCATGAGATGTTTTTTTGGGTCAAAAACTGAAAGATGAGATGTTAAATACTGAATGATTAGAAAGTTCAAGCGACAAGCTAGGTAATTATCATCAACACTACTTACTTTCAGGCATTATGGTGATGCCTCAGGACCACCGTCAGATCTTTACGTACGTGTGTGTATAATATAGTGTTTGAAGTCCGTGAGAACTAGTCACGGTTTTACTATCATTGTCAGTCCTGATCATTGTCCTTTGCCATTTCAAGGCAGACTCTTAGTAACTGCAAATTTGAATATCATGTGGCGTGGTATAGTATGCCACATGCACCTGTTGAGGTCACATGGATCATGTCAACACTGCTGAATATTAGCATGTTTCATGTGAATGGACTTATTCGTAACATTAATTGCTATTAGTATCATGTAACATAACATTTCGATAAGAAATTCCATATATTTAGTGAAATAAACCAGTGAAGTAAATCATAACCGTTTTGTGGTTAAGTGTAGTGTTCAGTTTACAAATACAAAGTTCAGTTTACAAGCTTGTACGTAGTACCAATTCATCACTTAATGCATATTTATTAACTTGTGCGTACTACTTGGCCATGGTCAGCCTACGCTTTAGTTCGGTTCATGTAGTTTATATAGTGTGACGTAATAGATGATCATTTTACCCTGACATTACTTAGAATATATTTCAAATTTGGGTCAAATAGTGTGGTATGCTTTCATACTAGTCTACTCTATAGTATTAAGTGTATTCTTTCTTAGACCATAACCTTTAAGTAAAAAAAATATATCAAATTAAATAACCTATCAAAGGAGAAACAGAAATCATCTGGTTGAAACAAAAGGTGTATGAAAAGGATTGACTGACTATTGAAAAGTGAAAACCCATTTGCATCGTGCTTATTGTTTCCACCTTTCGTTTTTAGTCTCACTCAATTATCAGACACTAATTGACTGATTAAATCTTTATTGCATTAAACTAAGTAAATAATTAGCAAAGAAACTTTTGCTTTATGGAGTCTCTGTGTTTCTTCTACGGTCAAAGGGAGTGGTTCCATCCAACCATGCAGATTCCTTATTAGACGGTTAAAATTCGTTCCCAACCATTCCTCCTCGTCCTCGCTTTCTTCACTTTTTTTTGGGTCCATTCTAATTCATATATATTTTACTCAGAGTCTACAAGATGTCAGCACTAAGGAGAAGAGCATCTGCTTCAATGTTCCATACATGAGCAGCACATCATAATCAGAATACATATTCCAGACATATCAGATTAAAATAAGACATAAAATATTATACAAATTTAAGAATGTTGTTGCAATGTGTAAATGATCAAATCAGGAATATATACGAAATTACAAGGGCTACTAGAGTATGCTTTACTGCTAGCAAAAGAGCTTTTTGTTCCCTTGCCCTATGAATTACCAATAAAATATATGGTCGACGAGTAGAGCTTTCATGAGTGCATTGAGTGGCTTACTTTGGTAAGCACCGAACAAAGGTTATATATTATATGATAATGATCATTTTACCAATTATATAATGAAACCAAAATATGGCTAAATACAATTAAGTGACTGAAGTAATAACCAAGGCCCAACTTCTTAAGTCATATGATTAATATATATTAGGTTCAAAGATTCATTCACAAGCATCACAAACACGAGGCAATGGATGCACTAATAGGTGATCACATATACAAATACATAACCAAAAAATGGTCAAGGGAACAAGACAAAGAAGAACAAAGCTATAGCCTTACATTGATAATCCCCATATATACATTGATAAAAGGGAATATAATAACTTCAAAACTTATTACTGACAGAATATTCGTTGAAGCTGCCTATTTGTGTATAATAATATGTTACCCTTAATTCATCGTCCATTTAAAGTGCTTTTCCCTTTAGCAGATATTTTTTCCACCTTAGCTTTTTCTTCATGTCTTCAATATAATACAGTACATAATTGTTATGGTGGAGCTTAAAAGTTCGACTGATTACATTTCCATTTACTTCACATCATACCTCCATCTCAATAATTTTCCAGAATTTGACAATGATAAATTTTGTCGTATATTAGGAGGAGGGAGCAATCTCTGTTTTGTATGACGTTTGCTTATAACTTTATTTTATTTTATGAAAAGATCGTCTAGTCTTCAGAGCCTAAGATCGTCTACTAGCTAGGAAATAGTAGTAATCTCCCTGGCGGTTTGCCTAATGACTTTTTTATATATACACTATCAACCTAGCCAGTTTCAAGTATAGCGGACACTGGTTGATAACTAGAGGTACTCATGGGTGTTTATATATGTTTCTCTAATCACTTCTCTCTTGATATAATCCCCAAAAACATAAGGAACCATCCAAAATTCCAGACCCCTTTGGTAAGGCGCAGTGCAGCTCCTTTGCCTTAAGGCGCAGAGAATCAGCTACTACATCCACATCTACTGCTTTCACCAGCAAAGTCATTAGTTCTACGAAAACATGAAAAATACTTAAACTCAGAGGTTGTCACCAAGGTGGCAAATTCAAATAGCCAGTACCAGGACAACCTTAAAGATACAAAAGAACGTGTGATTCTCATCTTCACAGTTTCTCATTCACACTGTATAACTACTGGCTATTGCCAATCAGAAAAGTCTATTTTCAATACTCATATTTGGTTCAACATGCAAAGTATATTGGAAGCAAGCGAGGAGCTGGTCAAATATTATTATTATATCAAGTTCGCACGTCACTTGATGTGAATTAGCAACTTGTCCATATCTGAAAATTTGGAAGTAACATCATGCCACAACAAAGGGAAAATATAACTGGACTAAAAGAACTATGCATCATGTACCCAATCGTTGAGGTACTACAAAGAGAGAAAAAGTAAAGAAGAAAGCCCATTGGGCTCAAAGGTGTAATAAATATATTTTTGTAAAACTTAAAGCGAACGCGTAACAAAAGAAATAACAGGGTATGGTATGGAAAGTTAGGCGGGCCTGATTATGTTTAGGTTTGGTTTATCTCATCAGTCGTCACAAATAAAACCCAAATTCAATGTTACCAGTCTTAAAAGTCTAAACCAATATGAAAACGGAATCATTGTGGTCAGACAAGGAAACACAACAGAACGAGAGAGAGAGTTAATCGTCATCCCTATTAACTTGTGTACAAAAAAAAACAAAGAAAAAGTGGCGCAGACTTTGACAAAATAATGGTTTGGGTGGGGACTAGAGTATTGAAATTTACATATTCAAACAAGATACATGCAAATTGCATTATTAATTGCAAAATTGTCAAAGTAGATGGCTGATGATCGAGAGCGCGCGTGGTCAACACGAAGCAGGTAGAGAAAAATTCAGCAGTTTTGTTTGCTCTTAATAATAAAAATAAAAATCAACTCCACGTTTCGAACAACCTAACCACTCATCCACCTGTTATCTTTTCTCTTTCCTTTAAGCTTTTCCTTTTCTCATCGTTCCTCCCACACGCCTCTCACTTGTTCCGATTTGCCCCTTTCGAATCATCACCGTCCGTACTCGTCTTCCGTCTCTTATCCGTAAGTCTCTTCTCTCTTTCTAGCCATTTTCCCCAATTTGATTTCGTCAATCTCACTTTCATTATATGTGCTTAGATCTGATTTAGAGAACTTATCAAGCTATTTCACTCAATTTCAATTTCAATTTCAATTTCACTGTGGAGGCTAGTGCTCATAGTCTTCATAGCTTTACTTTTTCCGATTTGTTTGAAATTGAATTGCTTTCGTTTTGGCTTTGTTGAATTGGTTTCTTAACTATGGTTTTGCTTGTGAACTACTTTAGACTTTTGCCAAGTTTCTATGTGAATTGTATAAGACTTGTGGAAAAATTGTTTCTTTTTGAATCAGACTTTTCAATTATACCCAAATTGTTCTTCAATTTAACGACTTTTCGGCTCTGTAAATCTGGAAACAAGGTTTTGGTATAGTGTTGTATTATCAAAGCTTAAATCTTGAAAGCATCTAACTATTCTCTTATATAAAGTTAGATACTTTAGTGTCTTTTGGATTGTTTGTTAAAAGTTTTTAGTTCATGTGTTGTGTTGACTCTATTGTTATTTTTAATTTTTGTGTTTGTAAGAACATTTTTTCTTATGACTCATTTGCTTGTTTGTTTTTTGTGTTCAGATTCTTCTCCTTTTTTTCGACACAATAAGAATGGCTAATTGTTCGGAAGACTCCAACGCTTCTCAGTTCGATATTCTCAGATGCCCTTTCTTGAGAAACATCAATGAGCCCACTAATCTCTCCTTCTCTTCCTCCTTGCCTTTTCCCATCCCCGTAAGTAAAACATAAACTCCTTTGCATTAAATTATATCTCATCACATTCTTTTGTTGACTTTTATATTAATCCCTTCCAGGCACGAGCAGGTCACGGACCTATATTCGAGGATGGACCCAATTTTGACACTGCCTTTAGACTTTTCCACGGGCAAGATGGTGTTGTCCCTCTCTCCAACAGCCCTAGAGCTGAAGCTGAGAAGAACCGCGAGCCTGTGTTTAACCCACTCGCTGCTAAGGCCGCCACTATTAGTCTCTCATCTTTTGGACCTGGAGGGCCTTTTGGATTTGATGCGTTTTCCGACATGTTTAAAAACCAAAAGAGAAAGTCTGACTCTTCCAAAAAGAATGATTCTTCCAAGGTAAAAGCTTTTTACTCCTCTTCTGCCTTGCTCAACACGTTTCTTCTCAATGTGAGAGCCCTGAAAACATCCATTGTGTTGTTGTTTCTTTCAGGGAGGAAACCATGAATCTTTGAGTGACGACTGGCTTCAAACAGGAAACTGTCCAATCGCTAAATCATTTCGAGCTGTAAGTGGTGTGGCACCGCTCGTGGCGAAGATCCTGCAACCACCTCCAGGGATGCATTACAAGTGCCCTAAAGCAATAGTAGCAGCTCGAGCAGCTATATCAAAAACAGCTTTCGCCAAGAACCTCCGCCCACAGCCTTTATCATCCAAAGTACTAGTGATAGGGATGCTGGGGATGGCGCTAAACGTGCCTCTTGGGGTTTGGAGAGAGCACACTGAAAAGTTCTCTGCATCTTGGTTTATAGCTCTTCACGCAGCGGTTCCATTCATAGGGATACTGAGGAAGTCTGTGTTGATGCCTAAGATGGCTATGGTGTTTACCATAGCTGCGTCTGTTATGGGACAGGTGATTGGGTCAAGAGCAGAGAGGTATAGGCTCAAGTCGGTAGCTCAGAAGAAGATGACATTGGCTGGACCAAACGTGTCGTCTGTTGAAGCAACTCAGATGCAGTTCCCCGGAGTTTCATCGGATGGAAGGTGCGGTGACAAAGTGGTGATGAAATGGAATCCGATGTTGCTTGAAGTACCAAGTCCTGTCACTACAGGAGCAACTAATGTTGTCTGCTAAAAGAGTTCTGATTTCTTCAAGATTCTCGATATATATATAATTGTTTTCCTTCTTGTTTTGGAGATTGTATTTGTAAAAGTTTCTATATGTTTGAGAAAAACTAGAATAAATTATTTTTAAACTGTTGAAATTGTATTTAAAATTTTAAATGTAAAAGACTCGGTTTATTAAATAAAATATAATAAAAAGATGTAAGTTTTTTTTTGACATAAGAGTTTGGAGAGTTACTGAAATACATGTTTTAGTGTTTATACATCTCATAAACAAAAGTACTCTTTAGTCCTCCAGTAATTACACATTTACAAATTATCAAAACAAATAAAATATTTAATTTTATAGATAACATAATTTTTTTTAACAAACTACATATATAAAGTTTATTATATATTTAAAACGTTGTATATATCTAAAAGCCACTGTTACTTATGAGATAAATGTTCAAAGAATTTGTTCAAGGTAGATTGTTAATAAGGACATAGTTTTAGTGTTTCTGCCCAATTAACTTACTTTTATATACTGACATATATATCCTCTCTTTTTTTTTGCGAACAGCATAATATCTTCTCTATTAAAAAAAAAATACAAATTTTATTTACCATATCTTCTCGATTAAAAGAGAAGTACAATTATATTTACCATAAAAAGTTATGCTAGGTATATTTCATCACTTATATCTATTTAATTATTTACATTAATCTATTAAAAATATAACATTTCTTAAAAAATCTTAATAACGCTATTGATGACAAAATGTTTGAGTTGTTCTCAATTTTAAGATGAATTGTCTAATATTCCATCCGTTTCATTTTAGTTGTCGTTTTGGATTTTTGTACACAGATTAAGAAAATATTCTTTTATATATTCTCGAGAAAAAACACTATTCACTATACAACTAATCATATTTCAACCAATTAAAAAATAGAATAGCATATAAATTTTTAAAAAATTTGTATTGATATTATAAAATAACACTTATTTTAAAAGAAATTTTTTACTCTATAACGACATATAAATTGAAATGAATGGAATAATAGTTATGATTTTCTAGTGATTCTCAAATCAGGTTTGGTTTGTGGGTAGATATACTACTTACCTCTGATATTATAGCTATAAATCAGTGTTCTAAAATTTGGTTTAGATGGTGCCTAGAAATTTACTTAGACTTTATAAATAAAATTCTCAAATGATATTTTGAAAATTTGATCTAGATAGCTTCTAGACGCCCACATTTGCTTAGACTTTATAAACAAAATAATCCTTTCTCAAAAGCGCAAATTACCAATTAGCAACTTTTTTACATTGACAAAAAAATATTGGATAAGGTATCAATGTGATATTGTGATGTATATGCAAAAGGTAGTTTAAACTACACTAGATTTAATTTACCCGCGCAATCGTGTATGTTTTATTTTCATTTTTATATACATAAATATCTATTTTACATTATTATTGATGTTAGTTATATATTTAAATGTTTATAAAACTATTACAAAGACAATAATTTTATAATTCACATGTTAATAACAAGTGTTTCAATCATTTCTTATTATATATTTATCTTCTTGGGTTTGCATTTAATTATTAAATAAACTAATATATGCATGAAAAATCATGTTAGAAAATTATTTTATATTTAATTTATACTAAATTTACACATTTTTATATTTATTTAAATAATATATTATTGTATATATAAAATTTTATATGTTAATTTCATACATGTATTACATAGTTACTAATGTTAACCTGTTCTACCAGCGTATTATATTTTTAATGTTAATATTTATATTTATGAAAAATAAAATAGATTAATTTATCTATTTAATACAATTTTACTATATTAATTTTCTTTTAATATGATACATTATGATTTTACAAAATATAGATAAAAGGATATATTTTTATTTTTTTATAAAAGATAACTAAATATATATATATATATATATATATATATATTAATGTATAGTTATATTCTTTACTAATTTGAAATTAGTGAAATATTTACATAACTTTTTAAAAGTTAAGATTTTGTTAAATCTTTTTCAACAGATATTTGTAATTTTGAATATATATTTATATTTAAAATCAAAAGATATCAAAAGATATTATGATTAAAATAGTTATAAATATTTTATTATTAGATTTAACAAAATACCTATAGTAAAAATTTCTAGTAATAATCTTTTTTTTTTTAAAATTACACATGAATCAAAGCCATGACTTATGTTTTAATATACAAGTTTTTTACGTGATAATCACGTAAATATGTCATTTGAAAATCAATGATAATAAAGTGGCTGCTCTGTATTAATTGCTATAAAATTAGCAACAAATTTCAGCGATAAAGCAAATTAGCAGGGAACAAAATTTGTCCCTAACCATCACTATTCGTTTTTAGCTACAGACCTTTCAACAACATATATGGCTAGCGTTGATTGTTATTTTTAGGTGATGTTATATCAAATCAAAAACATCAAAAAATAAATTAGACATCAATATTTTAGAACAAAAATAGAATAAAATTATTCAGATTTCCCTACAACAAATCTACTACTAACTCTCTATATATATATGTGTGTTCACGTACAGCAATTTCTATCATAAACAAAAAGTTGATGAAAAAAAACTAATGTCGTCAATGAAATTTGCTATATTTTGTATTGTCCTGGTTTCTTTCGTTAGTGTTCATGAATGTAGGTTATCTATAGTTTAGGTTCCATTCAACCTTTTATTATCATTATAAACTCAATCATATTTTCGATAGTGTTTTAACTGATTCGCTAAATTCTCTTTTATATAGGTTTTAGGCTCAAAGGTCTTTTTACAGATAAAGTAGAATGTGAGAAAATGTGCATTAAACCTTAATCAAATTGTTATTTAAAAGTTTAACAAAACTTAATTTATATATATTTACTGAATTTTTAAATAAATAAATTTTGTATCTGTAGTTTTGTTAAATTTGTATATATGATCTACAAGAATATATCTGTTTTGCTTTTTTGATAACTTGTAAATGAATGAATTCAATCTAATAATCTAATTATCAACTTATATTACTGGATAATAGGTATAATCTAAGTTATTTTCTTATTTAGGTTTTTCACTTAAGCAAAACTGAAAACAACAGAAAAGACATGTGAGCTATATATATATTGATGTAAAAATCAGGGCCGGCTAATTGGGGGGGGGACAAACGGTGCGACCGCTCCGGATCCAAACCCGTGTCCCCCGTATATTAATAGTTAGGGGCCCAAAATTTTTAATAAATACATAATTACATATATAAAATTTTAAAACTTTAGTAAATAAATTTAAAATGGGGTCCAAAAATTTTTATGTGTATAAAATTTCTTTTTTTCATCACAAAATATTAATAATTAAATTTTAGAAAGAAAAATATATACAAAAAAATTAAATAAATAGAAATTTAAAGGACCGAAATTTTTTTTTGCCCTAAGGCCCATAACAGTGTTAAGCCGGCCCTGGTAAAAATAAATGACACACGGGCAAACGTGATATGGGACATTTGATATGTATGGCTTTCATAGTTACTAGTTGCATAATGCCCGCGCAAGCGTGGCGGCCGGGATCATTGTGTTTACGTGTATTTTTTTCGATTGTTGGTTTAGTAGATTCTTCTAATGACACTAAATAATAATGAAATGGAAAGAATGTATTAAGAGTGTAAAGTGAAAATATTGTATATACTACCTCTATTTCATAATAAGTGTCGTTGTAGAGAGAAATTCTCGTTACAAAATAAATGTCGTTCTCGGTTTTTAATGCAAAATTTATTAACTTTATTCTATAATCTATTTTTCTGTTGGTTAAAATATGATTAGATGTATAGGTAATTGTATTTTTATATAGGAAATATACAAAATTAATTGTTTTCTTAATTCGTGTGCCAAAGTCTAAAATGACACTTATTATGAAACAAAGGGAGTATAATGTATTAAATGTTATTTATATGCGAAGTAAGGTTTATAGGAATAGTTAGACTATAATATAGTTTTTAGTGTGTAAAAGTAGGTGTCTATTTTTTTTTTTGCTGTAAATAGTTTTTATATCCTACGTCAAAACTTAATATAATTCTATATTTATAGTATTTATATTTGTATTAAACAATTTATAAATTTGAAAATAACCTTATTAAGTTAATATTCGTTCTTTGAGTTTCAATAGATAGGTTTTTATATATGATTTTTTGTAAGTTTGAGTTTTATTCATAAATGATGTGGCATTTTTATCTACGGCGTCATCGACTATGGAAATCCATTCGCCGGAATCTGGAGTCGGTCGTGAGGAATGTTTTCAATGAAATTATAGTAGTTATTAAAATGTAAGAGAAATTACATATTCATTTAATAAATAACGAAAATACTTAAATTTTGTTGTTTATTTATTTTATTTCACATACAATTTTTTTTGAAAATATATTAGGAATGTGTTAAATGTTATTTATATGCGAAGTAAGGTTTATAGGAATAGTTAGGCTACAATATAATTTTTAGTCTGTAAAAGTAGCTGTTTTTTTGCTGTAAATAATTTTTGTATCGTAGGTCAAACTTGATATAATTCTATATTTGTATTAAACGACTTATCAATTTGAAAATAACCTTAATTAAGTTAATATTCGTTGTTTAAGTATCATTAGATAGGTTTTATATATGATTTTTTGTAAGTTTGAGTTTTGTTCATAAATGATGTGGCATTTTTATCTACAGCGTCATCGACTGTGGGAATCCATTCGCTGGAGTCTGGAATCGGTAGTGAGGAATGTTTTTAATGAAATTATAGTAGTTATTAAAATGTAAGAAAAATTACATATTCATTTAATAAATAACGAAAAATAATTAAATTTTGTTGTTTTTTTATTTTATCTCACCTACAAATCTTTTGAAAATATATATTAGGAAATATGTGCAATGATTTAACTTTTTGAGCTCTTAAGCTATATTATTTAAGCTTATTAAGCCATCCACGTAGGCAGCCGCGCGGGAATCACTTTTTTTTTTGGTCTGTTCGTTTTTGGATTTATTTTTTATTATTTTTGGGTTGAGCTATATTATAGGATAGTTTAAGGCTCTTTAAACCATCCGCGTAGGTAACCGGGTGGGACTTCTTTTTTTTTTTTGTTTTTTACTGTTTGTTTTAGGATCCAATTTTAACTATTTTTGGGTTTGAACTTGTTAAGATTTAGGGTTTATCCAATTATTTTAATTTTTAAAACAATAAGCCCAAAAAAAACATAAAAACCTTATAAACAAAAAGCCCATATGATAATAACTTAGATCAAAAAATCAAAATCCGTGATAGCTGCGTGGTTTGAACCCACAACCTTGCATACTTAATTAAACACCTTATACCACTTGGCTAAAGTGTATTTCATTGTTCCCAATCATCTTACCAAGACTATGCGTTTTTAAAAAATACTTACGGGACCCATAAAGCTGCTGACATGGCACGCTATGGAGCCTAGAAAGTCTACTATTATAATATAGATTATTATAATCCTCGATGTAGGTCTGGGCATTCGGGTCCCAATCGGGTTTCGGTTTGGTCCAATCAGGTTTCGGTTCTTCGGGTTTATCAAAATCAGTTCCATTTGGATTATTTGAAAGTTCGATTCGGGATCGGTTCAGGTTCTATCGGGGTTAGTAAACTTTAAAGAACCAGTATAACCCGTTATACTTTCAGATTCGGGTCCCAATCGGTTCTTTGGTTTAAAAATACTTGATTTGTACCTAATTTGTAACCAGAACATAAGTAAAACCGGTTCTTCGGATTTAAAGTACCTAATGTGTAACTATTTTGTAACCAAAACATAAGTAAAATTGATTCAAAAATAAGAAAAAAACATCAAACATGATCATTCAAAATCAAACGAAAGGAAACATGGTTATTAGTTGAAAGAAAACCAAATAAGTGAAAGCATAAAACGAAAACTAAGTTCTTAAAAAATAAGAAACATTATTTAATAAAAACAAAACCTTAATAAAAAAATTTTAAGTTTCAATCGCCAGTTTTAACCATCAACCTTGATGTAATAGATAATTATTTAGATGTTTAGTAATATATTAAATATTTTGGATATATATTAGGAATTAAGATCATGTTCGCTACACGTTCTTATTAAAAATTTTGAATGTTTTGGGTTCTAACGGATGTCCATTTAATTCCGGGTTCGGTTCGGATAATACCCATAACCCGAAATATCATAAAACAAGATACATTCAGTATTTAAATCGGGTTCGGATCGGTTTGGATTCGTTTTTATCGGATCGGATTCGATTCAGATTTTCGGGTTCGGTTTATTTGCTCAGCCCTACCTCGATGGAAAAAACAACTTGTGATCTTTGTTGATGTTAACAGAAAGTAAGTTAATTATCCAGATTCCTTTTTAAAACACCAAATAATGTTTTAAAAATGACGTGTATACATACCCTATATATATTCACAGATATGTTCCCAATTTGAATGTATTCAAACGGAAAGTGCCCAGCTGTTTAGGCAGAGGATTCGATCATCCAACGTCCTCAAATATCTTGTTTTGCAATCTCATCCACATGTTGATTTGCTATAAAATCATGCTCTCTTTATCTCTTCTTATCCATGACATTTCTCTTGTCTTGGTGAAGTTTTGGGATCTTACATCACAACAAACAACAACAACAACAACCATATCTTTGTCTTATTTGTATCATTTGTCCCCTTTTATTAAGGAAAGTGAAATCTTGATTAATCTGAATAATGATGGGAGCCAATGATGGGAGAAGAACGCCTTTAATGAATCTTGGGGTTCAAGTGTCGATGAGAGTGTTAGCCATTGGCACTGCATTGACCTCCATGGGGCTCATGATCACTAACCATGAACTCGCCTCTGTTTATGGCATTAATTTTGAGGCTCAATATGACTACTCATCTGCCTTTAGGTATACTATTTTTCTCATTTTTATCAAGCTGCACATACTTATTTAATTAGTGAATCAAAAAATGACGGAATGTAGCATCTTTAATCTGCGTCCGATGAAATTTCACCGAAACACATTAAAGTACCTATGAAAAATGGTTAACTCACACATTCTGGTAGGAAATTTTGCAAAAAAAAAATTAAGAGAGAAGTGTTAAAGAAGAGATGTCTCTCTATTGTGACGTAGAAGACTATGTAAAATAATTTCATTCTTGAATTTTTCATGTTTCATTCGTTCACATCTCGTTTATCACTATTCCATTGTCTCGTGTTTGCTACCACTTGAAACCTAAAACATGGACAACCTTAAAACGGTATTAACTAGAATCATTACAATGATGTGACACAAAACAGATTGTTACAATTAAGTGAGAGATCGAGTGATGATTACAGGAAAATGTGTAATTGTTTTGATATGTTTCGCAGATATTTGGTGTACGCAGAGATAGCTATCTCAGGCATGACAATTTTTACGCTCGTATGGGCTTGTTTAGCTGTCCGTAGAAGAGGACTTGTATTTGCACTCTTCTTCTTTGATTTGGTAATTATTCTCCATTTTTTCCTTCTAAAATACGATATGGACTATATACATGAACTATTTGAGATGGACATGGTCGGTTCTCAACACTACCGGATGAGATATTCACTTTAGACCCAAAAATTTAAAAGCTATTATACATTAATCGAAAAGGCTCCAAATTGTCCAAAGTTCTTTTTATTAAGATTAACCTAACAAGTAACAAGTTTTAATCATGCTATACAGCTAACGACGCTGACGGCTATATCGGCTTTCTCTGCGGCTATGTCGGATGGTTACATCGGAAAGTACGGTAATACACACGCCGGGTGGCTTCCGATATGTGGCTACGTACATAATTACTGTAACCGTGTTACTCTCTCACTCGCATTATCCTTCGCTTCTTTTATCCTCTTGTTCATCCTTACTGTCTTAACTGCCTCAGCTGCTCGTCATTACTGATTAACTTTCTTTACGTTTTCATGTTATACATTTACTTAAACTCTCATGATTTTTCAAGCTTTCAAATATTACTTATTGTTATAAGATGAAAAATCTGAAAAAAGAAACTGTATGATTTCGTAATGTGTTTATCCTTGAGACTCTTGTTACTTGTTGTGTTAAGTCTCGTCTTCATTTGTTTTTATCCTTTGGGACTCTTGTTACTTGCATTTCAATACTAATCAACTCCTATCAAAAAGGTGATAAGAATATGTTTCGACAAGGATAAGTAAACTCCTCTTGATATTCAAATGATTGCTACACTTAAAAAATTATTCTTAGCTAATAAAATGAAAAAAAAAAAACAAAAATTCATCAACAAACACAAACGTTCGTAATATACTTATCAGCCCCAAACTTCGGATACTCAAGGTTATAGTCTTTATGTTATTTTAGACAGATATTTTTTTCTTTTACTTGTGATTTACTTTTAGGTTTACACTAAGCCGGTCCTGGACCAAGCTTGTTGAAATATTCGTTTTCGGATTCCTGGACATTTTGAAAAAAATTATATAGAAATAGGTTCCATTTTTTTTTTTTGAAAACCTCCAAATTGATATAAAGAAAAATTTTAGTTGAATTTTTCTTAAAAATCACCTATGACCCCGTAAATCTCAGGACCGTCCCTTACATAAAACATAAATGAAATCCAAAATCTGTACCGAACCAAGAACTTGAATTTGTATCTGTTCGACATCTATCCGAACGCTCGGACCAAGATACTCATCATATAGTTTTGCATAGCTACACAAAGATTGAGGGAACAAAAGATATTATGGCAATCATCACCAATGAATCTCAAAGCTAATTTAAACAAGACACGATAACCAAGAACCAAAATGGGAACGTTGAAATAACTTATATTTTGGTTTGGGCCTATTCTAGTTGCAGAAAATGTATAACCACACTTCACAAAAGTAGGACCCATAGCAACATGTGCGGAAGATAGGTCAGAATCCCCAAGAACCAAACTCGGCCACAAAACAGAGAGACTTACTTGTTCTTGCGTCCTGTGAACGACGCCGTATCCGCGTCCCCTACTTTCCAAAAAAAGTATAGATATCTTTCTGCTTTAAGAGATTACACCTTATCCAATTATTGGTAGCATTCGAAGAAGCCACTGTTTGTATCTCTGAGCTCTGCATTGAACTACATCTCCTCAAATGGCTTCCCTATCAACTAATTCTCTAAGCTTCAGAGCTCCCTCTATACAATCTAGCAGATTTTCACAGGTAACTTGACCACATTCGTCTCTTTAAATCAGTGTACAGTTTTTTATTTATATACACATCTAGAGTTTGTGATTATACGTCTTTTGCCACCAAATAACGCAATTACCTACTTTTAATCATCAGGTGTTAAGGAAACCCTCAAGTTTTCAGGCTATCTCCTTTGGAAGTTTTCAGTCTTTAAAGAGCCTTCGTCTTCAAATCAGTTGTGCAGTAAGTAAAAAACTATTTATTTAAATTATATTAGAAATACAATAAGTTGAATTGTAACATGCGAGGAGTGTACAGGCAAAACCAGAGACAGTGCAGAAAGTGAGTGACATTGTAAAGGAACAATTGGCTTTGTCCGCTGACACTGCTCTCACTGCCGAGTCCAAGTTCTCTGCTCTTGGCGCTGATTCTCTCGACACCGTATGTTAATACTCTCTCTTTCTTTTCATGTTAACGTGATGTTTAAGCCAAGTTTATTTTCTATTTAGAGTAGACCTAACGGTTTTGTAACGTAATGGTTTGTTATTAGTTAAAATGTGGTGTACTCGCTGATATTTTTCCGGTTGGATATGGATGTAGGTGGAGATAGTGATGGCTTTGGAGGAAAAGTTTAACATAAGTGTGGAAGAAACTGATGCTCAGAACATTACAACGATTCAAGAGGCGGCTGATTTGATTGAGGATCTTGTTCAGAAGAAACCTGCGGCCTAAAATATCCCGGTTTAACACAAACCGGCTGTTTTTTTTTTTGTTGTTTCTGAGCTTTCTTGGTTCAGAGCATCTTATTTTGGTATATTAGACCATCTTCTTTTTTTTTCTTGTTCTGGAAGTTAAGATTGGACTTTGACGATGAGAAAACTTTGGTCCGTTGAGATTGATTCTTTGTGGTGATTGGTCTTTTAAGATGGAGGATATGTAAACGTGTTTTTGTTCCACTGCCACCTGAACTGAGCTTGTCTACTCCTTGATATGGCATCGCTTTATTAGTTGTAGCTAACAATTTTCAAAGATTGGAAAACAAGAATTGATTTAGGGTAATGACTTTGCTTGTATAGAGAATATGGGACAAACATAATCTAAGCCCAAGGTATACCAAAACAATTATGTAGTACTGTCTACTCAAATAAAAGTTTGTGTTAGATATGTAAAAGCATTACTTAAAAGTATATATAAACAAAAATTAGACAAGTACCTGGTCAAAGTAAGCTCTAAAAGTTGTGCCTCAACTGACCGTGAAAAGGCGTAACAATTGGAACTTAATCTGCGACAAAGCTATAAATTTAGAATTTCTCAAAGTTTATGTTCTAATTTTCCATAGTTTGGAAAGTTTTAGTTTAACCATTACGGGGAGTTCTACTAGAACATTTAAGTTTCAGGTCAATTTTTTAGTCTGGTTTATAAACTGTTCAAGTTAACGACGATTGTTTATGAAGTTTTAGTTGCGTCTATGGGATGTATTTTCATTGTCAGACCAAAGAAGAGCTGAAGTTTTCATCCTTTCTTATTTACATAGTGTCTATGACATACGTGGTTTGTGATTACAGATTTGCATGTTACATTTCATGTTTGTCATGCATGAGAGTATTAGAAATATGTTGGACCAAAAAATATATATCTTACAGATTAAGACTATAAACCTGTGAAATCTTTGAAGACCCTCGACACTAAAAAAAAAAATTTGAAAAGCAAGTTCATCTCAAGATATTCTTAGCATATTTATATTAAATGTTTAAAAAAATTAACATCATCTAGTGTTAACTAAGTTAAGATTACCGCTATATATGCATTTTATATCAAACACAACACAATAATATATCATATTCTATTTTGTTTAACATGGTATCAGAATGGACTAACATTCTAACCCATTAATCCGGTCCAGACAATAGTTCGATCATCCCATTAGCTTGGCCTATAAAAGGTCCAGTTCTGTAGAAATTGCTAATACAGAGCATTGTTTTAGGAGTATGATGGTTTGTCGAAATTAATGATTATACCATCATTATCTCGAGGGAGAATGTTAGAGATAAAGATCCCACATCGAAAAATGAAAGAGAGATAAATAATATACAAGAGATTTGAATCAATCTACTAATTGCCAATTGATTTTAAATTGGAAATCAAAATTTTTTTAACAATAATCCTTAGCAAATTGGGAAAATTTAGGAATATATGCAGTCAACTATATATAAGATTTTTAAAACAAGGCATCTTATTGATTACTTGCTTGTTAAATTATCAAGATGACAATTATATACTAACATGTATTACACTTGAGGCTCCTAACTTGCTTGATAAACGTTTTTTATGGTATGGGGTTGAAGGTCAACACGGCAGAGTAAACTACATAAAAAAATCCATTTCCCTTATTTTTGCCTTGGGCGTCTAGGATCCTGGGCATGGCTCCACCTATAATCTGAAACATGAAATGTCAAATCTATACTACCAATTGCGTCCACTAGATTTGAGTATATTGAAGATAATTTAAAGAAACAATTACATCATATGTCAGTTTTAAGTTTTTTATTACACAAAAAAACAGTTTATGCTACCAAGACAATTTATTCTAACTAGTTCTCTTTTCTTCCTCTTTTTCTAAACAAGATAGTCACCTTCTAATTAAACTTTAACTAACTAAAATAAACTGGATCTCATATAATTTTCTTCTTCGTCTTTTTCCCTTGTTCACTATTTCAAGGTTCAAACATGGTGTCTCTGTTTTCTCATGTTGTTCTGCTCTGTTCCTACTCCGAAACCGCCGGCGAGCCTCATGCAAATTCGATCTCTAGGCCACAATGTTCATCTTCTTCGTGACATCACAAGGTAAATCCGGTCTGTCGCGTTTTCACTCGACTCAATCCCTCGTATCGTGCTCCAATTCATTCTTCTTTGTCGTGATTCATCATTGATGTGACCTCTGTTCCTCTCTGACGAATCCTTCAACCATCAGAAAAGCTCAAAAGTAATAATGGCTAACTTTGACATTTTTGCACGTTCGGTCCCTTAATTTTTATATCATTTAATTTTAACGCCAATATTCTTAAAAAGTGAAGATGTGTCCTAACACAAGATATTCAAAATCATTAAACTAAATACACAAATAGAAAATATACACTTACAATGTTACTTAACATAATTAAAATAAACTAACACAAGACATTCAAAATCATTAAAATCATAAAATATCATAGTTTTTGGCTAAATCAAAGAAATTTCCTAATTTTTGGCTAAATTAAAGAGAGTATTGGAGGCAAATACTAACAAAATATCAAGTATCATTCGTGCAATTATGAGGATGTACTGGAATGAACAATCAAGAAATTTGTGAGTTATTTTTGTGTACATTTCGTGACATGTACACATGTACATCCAAAATCGTTGTACATATTTCTTTGTAAACTGATACTACTCTAAGTTGAAAGATGTACATGTTTAATGTTTATGTATATGAGGATAGTGAAAATCTTTCTTTTGAAACAGAGAGTATTTTACAGTTTTAGCTAAAATAAATATTATGTACAATGTGTACATGTCAATCATTGCACAACCAAATTAACAATATGAAGACATTCTTACCATGACATAACATTACTCATCTGGATCTACAAGTTTCAAGACGTGTACTTAGACTTAGAAGTGATATAACTAAAATATGTGTACATATTACCATAATATCACACTATTTAATTGGATAATTTTGCAAGTTTCAAAATGTATACAACCATATGATGTCTATGTGTACACATAATTTTTACTATCATGTACAATGATTCACTTGTATAATATTGTCCACGCGTATACCGATGCATAGATACCCACATGTAAGATCAATTTTTGTACATGTTATTTCATGTACACTTTGTAAGAGCAATTTTAACAAACAACATGTGTGTACACGTGTAGAAAACTTAAAAAAATAGAAGTTAAAGACAAATGGACAGGTTATTTCATGTACATTTTGAAGCGTGTACACGTGTACATCGAAAATGAACCAATATATGTAAAGAAGTTGTACACATATATGTAGATTGTTGTTTAAATGCTACTTAAATAATCTAAAATTAACTAATTAAGATGCAGTAATAACATTTAAATGCTCATGTCGTACATGTACGTCTATTTCATAGTGGACATATGTACATCAACTTCAAAATATACTTGTGTACACTACATGTGTACACTACATTTAAGTGCTTATATTGTCCACTTCATGTTTCTTGTACAAGTTATATCGTGGAATATGTATATATGTAGATATTATGGGAGGGTAAATCTGAATTTATTATATACAGATTGTTTCTTCTTTTAAATATGGGAGTATGCTTCCATCACTACTAGTTGTACAATACCATATATGATAGTGTACATACACGTTATTATCCATGTGTATGCCTATGAACTTGTATATGTCTTGTTTGGAAGCTTGGTACGCATTTTGTTCAACAACGTGTACACTTTATTACACATGTGTACACATTAGTTTCAAGTTTTTAGTGATTGGCATTTTAGTAATTATATCTTCGTCTTTCCTAGATTTTTTAGGGCTGCAATACTTTTTGCGGCTGCCATAGATTTTGTTTCTCATAATCTTCCATTCTTTTACATTTTAATTATAGATTACACTTCAAGATCATAACTTTATCATTTATAAATAGATTTTCAACTTTAGTTTTTTTTAAAAAATAGTGAGATTTGGCCATTGTTGTTTCAGATTCATTGTGCAACTAAAAAACGGCCACCATGATGGGATTTCGAGCATCATATCACCACGAGCTACTGTCACAACACAAGGGAAATGAATCGAAGAGCACAATGTGTTAATTTACGGTGAGAAAAATACGAACTGTAACCATTTTTGCGATTAAGCTCGACGGAGATTCACCAGCGATCATATAAGAGGACCCAGAAACACGCCGAAGAGGAGCTGCGTATATGACTTGGATCGAGAGCTTAAAAAGTGAGATGTGAAGAAGAAGTTTTTGAAGATTTTTGATTTCTAAATTTTGTTTGTTACTCTCGAGAAAAGAAATAAAAAGTTGTAAATCTGGGAAAATTATAGGACCCCTTTACTTAGATAAAAAGACTTTAGTTGACAATAATTGGTTTCTAGTTAAAAAAACTACCTCAAAAACTGTCCTATATTATTATTAAAAACTCAAAATTGTTTTACAATGAAAAAAATTCTAATTCAAATGCAAGTGTCTCATTAGTCGGAAAAACAAATTTGTTTTCTGTGAACATAGACATCTCCGATCGTGGTTACAACTCATTGATTATGAAAACATATAATTTTAAAATGGCACATTGCATGATTTAGTATATCTCTCCGCGTTTGGGAGCTGAGATTCCTCATTTATATGAACAAGTTAACTTCTCTTGACATTACTAAGTTTTTTCGTAGTTGCAATTATTTTTATTTTTATTTTGTTTTGACATCGTAGTTGCAGTTATTAATTGACACTGTAGTTGCAGTTTTTAATTGACACTTAAACAATACGGTATATGCGATATATGGAATGATTCTATTGAGGTCTATGTCACTTGGATTATAATTTAAAGACTAGGGAGTAGACCCACGCAAATATGCGATAAAGAAAAAAAACATTGTAACTAAAATCGAAACTCTATAAATTAATAATCGATAAATTAATAAACTCTAAACATCAATGATTTTTTTTATTTTGATTTTAATTTGTGTCAGTTTCAAATTATGATACAAATCAATAAAATAATTTTCCAAAAATACTGTAAATATATATAATCTCATCAATAATCATAAATTAATGAGATGTAACCCCGGTCATGAATGAGATCATTTTCAAATATGTAATCTCCAAATGTTTCATTACTAATATATCTAATCATATTTTAACTAACAGAAAAATAAACTGAAAAATATAAAAAGTATCATATAAACTTAACAAAAAATTTATTGAAATTTTAAAATGACATTTATTTTAAATGAATATTCTATTCTACAATGAAAATAAAAATAAAAATAGAGGGAGTATAAAAATTTTATCACTGCACATATTATTATTTTTTGATAAGACATATTATTATTATGATTAAGAAACCTGATTTTGTCAAGAAAGTACGCGGTCTCGAGCGATATAGTTAAAACTTAATAAACCAATTCAACCAACTTTTTCCTTTCTGTTTCCGGTTAATAAATTATTAGAAGATGTTGACAAGTTATGCAACTATCATATGCATAAGAAGGGTAGATTAGAGTTGTGGTCGAAGGCATCTTAACAAGCTTAAAGAGACAAAAAAAAAAAAAGAAGACCAAATTCTCTTTTTCCCTACAAAAATAGCTCTCACGTAATGGCCTCTTCTTCTGCAACGAGACCTCAAGTGTTCATCAACTTTCGCGGACCAGATTTGCGCAAAGGCATTGTCAGCTTTCTCGTGCATGAATTGACACGCGAAAATATCAACGTCTTCATAGACGATCAAGAGGAGAGGGGACAACACCTTTCAACCTTGTTTCGAAGGATAGAGGAGTCCAAGCTGGCGCTGGCAATATTCTCCGAAAAGTACTCCGAGTCAAAATGGTGCTTGGACGAGCTGGCGAAGATCTATGAATGCGTGAAAGACAATAAACTTAAAGTGATCCCAGTCTTCTACAAGATTCCCGTCGATTCTGTTACACATCTCACTGGGCACTTCGGCGATCAATACAGAAAGTTGAAGAACGAATACAAATTAAAAGAGCCAGAAAGGGTCAAGAGTTGGAAAGAAGCCTTGATGTCCATTCCTAAGTACTTTGCCATGCCACTTTCGGCAGCCAGGTTCTCCTTGTTCTTTTGTCTCTTAAAACTGACTAATATCATAACATATTAGTGCCAATGCAAAGCTTTCGAACACATGGTCTACGTCCAATCTAGTGCCGATCCAAAAATTTGGACTTCCTATTTATATTGTGTTTTGTTTAATATGTCTTTCCTATATCTTTGATCCAATATTAATAATAGTAATATAATAGAAAATCAAATTGTTTTTAAAACAAAATAATTTACTTCCTTAATTATAAGAGTAAAGAAAAAAAGAAAATTAATATTTAGTATAGAAATATGGTTCATTTTACAGTTTTTCTGAAAAATATATTTATCAAATACATGTAGTCGAGTTTCAACTGATGATAAAAGCAGTTCCATACAACCTTCGTTAAATATAGTAGATGTTAAATATTCGCTCTGTTTTCTTTTATATTACGTTGTTGACATTTAGTATATTACATTTTCTATGCTTCTTTAGTTATGTTATTCCCTCTATTACTTAATTGATGTCATCTTAGCATTGAGTACATAAATTAAAAAAATATTTTTTTTTTTATATTTTCTAAACAAAAATATCATTAAACATTTACATAACTACAATTCATCAAATTATAAAATAGATGATAAAATCTTATTATTATTTTTTTCTGTTATCATATTATTTATTGTTCATTTAACATTAACTGTTAATAAATTTTGCAAAAAAATTCGTCATTTATTTTGAAACAAAAAAATCCCAAAACGTCAAATATTAAAAAAACGAAGAGAATATCTTATCATAAATCACATTAATTATAGGGTAAATATAGTTTTTTGTCACTATAATTTTCATTGATTTCTGCAAAGCGTCAAGTATATTGAAATAAACAAAAATTTCCAAAACATCATTTAGTTTAGAACAGAGGGAGTAATAATTTATCAGCTTTCAGTTTTGAAAAACTCATTTCGACATTTATGTTTAATATATATTGAAAATATAAGATATAAGTGATTTATGTATCTTGATAACGACTCGTTTGTTTAGTGGTTTAATATGATTTCTTTATGTTTAATATTTATATATATATATATATATATATATATATATATATATATATATATATATATATATATATATATATAAAATCTTGAAGTTCTTACAAGTTGATATGATTTATTTGTGTCTTTCAATCTTTTGCTTAGATATTTTTATTTTTCTATAAAACATAAGATTACTAAAAAAATATCTATGTGACAGTCTTTCACTAACTTGGGCAAACCTTATAGGTAAACGTTCAAAGATGAATATCTAAACTAAATAATACTAATAATTTGATAAATGTTCATTATTTATTTAATTTTGATGGTTTAAAAGTATTAAAGGAAGTTGTCAAGTGTGATGGGAGTTTCTCTGAGTATGAGAAATTCTCAGTTCTCTTTCTTTCTTTTTTATCAAACAAGATTTTATAGATAACTAGTTTCGATTAGATGAGAAATCGTTTACAAATATGATAATAAAGCCATATTCAACTCTCTTTCTTACTTTTTGATTTTACTTCTTTATTGTGAAGAGTTTTCTACTGATAAAGAAATGAACATGCTCTTATGTTATTTCTTATTTAAGATCTCAATCATGAACATGCTCTTATGTTATGTGTAAAACTGTAAATGCGCTTTGAAGTGAGATTGGGTCATAAGTTAGACCTGTGCATTCAAATATTCGGTTCGGTTTCGGATAGGAACCATTCAGTTCCTAATATATCGAATAAATCATTCTTATATCCAATAGATACTTATAAGATTTCGGTTTGATTTCGGTTCGGTTCTAGTTCAGTTTCGGTTCGGTTCCGGATACCCATTTAATATATAAATCAAATATATATAAACAGAATATATTAGTTAATATATTAATTTAAATGGTATAGTGTTTACGCGCTTACATATTCGTCAATCCAATAAAAGTTCGAATTAATATAGTGTTAATTTTATAAATATTTATCGTATTTTAATATAGAAATACTATATATATTTAGAATATAAGAAAATAAATAAAACTTATTGTGGTCTGGTGGTAAAAATGTACTTATAACTCTTTGTATATCCAACTTAGATTCAAGTGGGCTTGATGTCGTTTATCTTATATTAAAAAACTTTAACTTATTTTTTTGGATATTCGAATACTAATTCGGTTTTCGGTTCGTTTTTTCGGATATATAAATATAGGAACTACTCGGATATTTAAAAATTACGATCTGATTTCAGATTTAGATATATTCGTTTGGTTCCGATTCAGTTTTTTGGTTCCTGTTTTTTTTTCCCAGGGCTAGTCATAAGCATAACTAAATCTTATGAAGAACATTAATTATTTAGTCAAAAAACATTAATAATCTCATTTTTATCAGTGGCACGTCAGATAAAGATTTCGTAGACAAAATCGTCAAGGAGGTACAGAGAACGCTGAAGGCCGTCAAGGGGCAGCCTGAAGCAGTTCAGGAAAGACAGCAACCTGAAGCAGTTCAGATAAGACAGCAACCTGAAGCAGTTCAGATAAGACAACCGATTGTAAATCGTCAGAGTTGCATGTACAGTTTAGAGAACCTGACGATCAGCAGTTCTTGTAAAGCCAGTTATTGGACCATTGTGTCCATATCCGAGTCACCCAAGTAAGAGTTTTTTATATATTGTCTAACACAAAGATATGAATTATGTTTAAAAAAGAACAGCAATTACAATTATTTTAGGATTATATAAATAAGTATATATTTATATGTATTCGTCTACTACTCATTAGATAATCCTTCCGTATTTGAAAAGTTTATGTTTTAGAATTTACACATATGTTAATAAAAAATGAAATACATATTATTAATTATTAATTAATTTTTAGTTTTGTTTTAAATTTTAAATTGTTTTCCAATAAAAGTTTACCAATTATATATTTAAATTTTATTTATGTTTTATTTTTACAGAAAAGTGCACTAATTAAAGTCCAAAATATCAATATTTCGATTACAAATACAAAATATTACAAGATGTATTTCACAGAAAGTTAGAACTTGTACCTAAAATCATTTTCTTTACTATAGGATAATTTTTTTCAGAATTATAATATTCGGAATTTCATCTTAATTTTAAAATAATATATATATATAGATATGATTTACGAGTGAAAAATCAATGAGTAAAAAATAATAAATAAAGTAACTCATGCCAGCCTCTTAAAATTTTTGTTTAAGAAAAAATGTTAATATTTAAGGAAAATTAAATCGCACATATTAGTCTTTTCGAACTTGTGTTAATAATATGTATAGAATTACTTTTAGAATATCATCCTAACTTTTAAATAAAAAGAAAGAATATCATCCTAATTAAATAAATATACCATTTTATAAAACAATATATCAAAAAGTAAGGTGAGACATTACACATTTTCAAAGATTATAATTACCAAAATCATAATTACAAAGAAAATCACTATCATCATCATTCTCTCAAATCGATCAGCTTGTGTGAATAATTATATCATCACTAAAACTAGACCAGGACCTAACTTATAGTCCAACAGTGTTAGCAAATAAAAAACTTATAGTCCAACAAGCTAGTATATAGACTAGGATAAGACCCGCGCCTTATGCGGGATGAAGCTATTATTTTTATTATGTTTTGAAAAATGAAACAATAGTTCGGTTTCATTCGGATTATAGGTGCTCAATCTGGATATTGGGTTTCGGTTCGGCTCAATTTTTTGTCCGATTTTTTGGTATTTCGATCATTAAAATATAACTACTATTCTAAATCTATATGTACTACAGTTTGATTTAGTTTATATACCATCGATTTTCAGTTTATTCAATTTTATACCAAAAAACATAATTATTTAGTTTGAGATCATATTATATATTATAAAAATATATAATATGATCATATTTAGAGTCTTATTGCCACATGGTCATTTATTAAAAATATATTATATATTTAAATAAAAGAAAAAAACAAAAAGACTTCTATCATCTAATAAAATGATCAAATCTAGAATTAATATCAAAACACTAAATTTTGAAGAAAAAAAAACAGAAGCATGAAAGAAAAGTTTTTATATTCTTCC